TTCCCCGCCTCCGATCCTCCGGCGCTGACTGGCGGATCGGACGGGGGAGGGGGCGGGTACAGCTGGCTCTGCCTCTAGATAGGCAGAGCCAGCTGTTAGTCACGCAGCTCGGCGGACCCCGGCGCAATTGTCGGGATCCGCTTCAGCTGCGGCGTCTCAGTATACCGCGAGCTACAGATTGCGGTATACTGAGCCTACGGTGACGGGAGGACGCTAGTTTGTGTCCTCCCGTTACCCTAAGGAGAACTATGGGGAAAAACACTGACCCCATAGTTCTCCTTTAATACTATAAGTTGTTATGGTCAGTTTGGATCTGCCAGTAGACACGTTTCCCACTTCTCCTTTTCTCTCTGCAGAGTATCTCGGCTGAAGTCGGCAGTCGATGAGAAGAGCAGATCTTTGCAGAAGCTGAACCAAGTCATGTCACTGAGCCGCCAGCTTCTGTCCGGTCGCTGGGCGAGCGGTCCCGTTCTGTGTCACGTGACGGCCTCCTGGACCAAAATGCTGCAGACGGACCGTATGACCGTGTCCTGCGTCCTGGAGAACAGGACTGACTGTATCCTGGAGGGAGGATGGACTCTGTGCGTCCTGATCAGCTCAGACGTCTCCTATTCTTTTCCTCTGACGTCACTAAAACCCGGAGAGAGGACGGAAGTGACATTCCCTCTGCCGGCTCACGCCTATCGCAGTCTGGATTTCCCCATAAAGATATCATTCACCTTGTTTTATAACTTGAAGGGACTCGTCGCAGACTCCGGCCTGCCTGCAGGGACTTCCCCGGACCGGCATGGCGTCTGTATCCCTCTGCAGGAGCACAGCGTAGACTTACTGCAGTGTCTGCGGTTTGGTCCCCGAACAAGCCATCCGGGCCTGCTTCCTGTCATGGCGGAGGATTTAGTCCAGGTCTTTGTCATGGCGTCTTCTGCGGGCAAAGCCAGCGCTGATCATCCCGACGCACGCTCCTCGGCTATTACTAACCAAGGCATCCACGGGGCAGCACCGCTAAAGGCGCGGGTTCGCATATCTGCCTCCTTGTTGGCCCAGGCCTTGCAGAATGGAAAATCTGGTGAGCGAAATGCGGCAAATTGCAAAAAGGCGATAAGAGCCGATATAATCCAACGCACAACGGCAGCGCGCAATAAAGAAGAACTCCGGGGAAATCAAAAACTTACCCTTGAGGTGGGGGCTACCCCTGCCTGCAAGAGCCGCGTGCTCATTCTGGGGGCTCAAAAATGAAACGGCAGATATGCTCACCTGATCCTCTGTCTATTGGAGTCAATAGACCGGCATAGGACGCGGTGACGTCAGCGATCCTTTGACCATCGGAGTCCAGGGGACCGGTTTAGCCGCCAGGCGGGACCAAGGTTCAGCTGAGGATATCTGCTTCATTTGAGCCCCCTAGACTTAAAGGAGAACTATGGGGTTAAGGCTTTTCCCCATAGTTCTCCTCAGGGTAACGGGAGGACACAAACTAGCGTCCTCCCGTCACCCTAAGCTCAGTATACCGCGAGCTACAGCTCCCTATATACTGAGACGCCGCATCGGATCCCGACAATTATGTCTGGATCCGCCCAGCTGCGTGAGTGACAGCTGGCTCTGCCTATCTAGAGGCAGGGCCAGCTGTACCCGCCCCTTCCCCCGTCCGTTCCGCCAGTCAGTGCTGGAGGAGGGGGGAATCCAGCCCCTCCCCTGTCACGGCAGAGAGCCGTGACCGGATCGAGAAGTGAGCGAGCGCTGGTATGTGTTCGCTCACCTCCCGATCTACTGAGCCGACCTGTGACAGTCTCATTGTCACAGGTCGGCTAGAACTATGAGGTGAGTGAAAAGCACTCCTTTAACCCTTGCGGTGCTGGTGTAGCCCCACTGCAGGGGTAAGTTTTTAATTTTCGCAGAGTTCTGCTGGAAGGAATGATCTATGTAGTATTTTGCTTCTTCCAGGGACGCCCCTGTGTTCTGCTGTACTGCACTGGCTGGTGTCCACGGACGTGGTGAAGGAGCAGAGCCTGGTGGAGGTGCAAGGCGTGACCCCGGATGGAAAGGATTTCAGCCTGCAGGTACAAGAGGTCAGTGCAGGTTCACCCAACACTGTGATCCAGGAATACCTGTGTGATCAGACTGTACCGTGCCATAGAGCTGAATGTGCAACCCAGCAGTGAGAACGCGCCAAAGTGATAAGACGCCACGGACTTTCTGGGCTGCTGGTCATGTGATTTGTGATGTCAGCAATCTCCCCTCCTCCCTGGGCATCTGAAGTATCTCATGACGTGGGAAACAGTGAGGGCCCGAGTGTGATGCTGAGCCTCCATTATATAAAGAACTAAAATACAATGAATGAAAGGGGTTGAGTCAGGGACAGTCAGGCAGTGGAGGAAAGATCTAGATGTTGCTGGATGTCATTGGGAGAAGCTCCCAGTGTGCAGTGATATCAGAGGAAAAGGAGAGGAGCCGGTACAACTGTGCAAGACTGAAGGGGAGGACGGAGGTCAGAGAGGAGACTAAAGGGGAGGCTGGAGATCAGAGAGAAGACTAAAGGGGAGGATGGAGGTCAGAGAGGAGACTAAAGGGGAGGATGGAGGTCAGAGAGAAGACTGAAGGGGAGGACGGAGGGCAGAGGGAAGACTGAAGGGGAGGACGGAGGGCAGAGGGAAGACTGAAGGGGAGGACGGAGGGCAGAGGGAAGACTGAAGGGGAGGACGGAGGGCAGAGGGAAGACTGAAGGGGAGGACGGAGGGCAGAGGGAAGACTGAAGGGGAGGACGGAGGGCAGAGGGAAGACTGAAGGGGAGGACGGAGGGCAGAGGGAAGACTGAAGGGGAGGACGGAGGGCAGAGGGAAGACTGAAGGGGAGGACGGAGGGCAGAGGGAAGACTGAAGGGGAGGACGGAGGGCAGAGGGAAGACTGAAGGGGAGGACGGAGGGCAGAGGGAAGACTGAAGGGGAGGACGGAGGGCAGAGGGAAGACTGAAGGGGAGGACGGAGGGCAGAGGGAAGACTGAAGGGGAGGACGGAGGGCAGAGGGAAGACTGAAGGGGAGGACGGAGGGCAGAGGGAAGACTGAAGGGGAGGACGGAGGGCAGAGGGAAGACTGAAGGGGAGGACGGAGGGCAGAGGGAAGACTGAAGGGGAGGACGGAGGGCAGAGGGAAGACTGAAGGGGAGGACGGAGGGCAGAGGGAAGACTGAAGGGGAGGACGGAGGGCAGAGGGAAGACTGAAGGGGAGGACGGAGGGCAGAGGGAAGACTGAAGGGGAGGACGGAGGGCAGAGGGAAGACTGAAGGGGAGGACGGAGGGCAGAGGGAAGACTGAAGGGGAGGACGGAGGGCAGAGGGAAGACTGAAGGGGAGGACGGAGGGCAGAGGGAAGACTGAAGGGGAGGACGGAGGGCAGAGGGAAGACTGAAGGGGAGGACGGAGGGCAGAGGGAAGACTGAAGGGGAGGACGGAGGGCAGAGGGAAGACTGAAGGGGAGGACGGAGGTCAGAGAGAAGACTGAAGGGGAGGATGGCGGTCAGCTTTAAATAGGAATGGGATATTCTGTGCAGATTGTGATTTTCGGTGATTGTTGTGCATTTGCTTTTTCTTCCTATAGATAACAGTGTCAGACCTGACTGCATCAGGAAGCGTCCCCGTCATTGAAATACAGATACTCGGCTCCCATTTACACGTTGTGGCCTCGTTACACTTGGCTGTGATCAGTCGTTTCCAGGTATTAATACTGATCAGTGCCCAATATTGATAATATATTGATATAGGCGATGTTCTTTTAGGATCCTCTGAGTCAGAGGGGTTTCCGGTAACATCTTTGTCACCCTCCAGAAATGTATGGATGGCGCTGCTCAATATCAGACAAGAAGGGGTCACTGATACTCTAGTATGCTGATCAATACACCTTTATTGACGCATGATCTGTATCACATAACACAACATTTTGGGGCCTCGCAGGGTCCCTCATCAGGCAAAACAGTGATGATCATGTGTCAATAAAGGCGTATTGATCAGCATACTGGAGTGCCAGCGACCCCCTTCTTTTCTGGGCGGCGTAGGGGTGACTGGGGGGATTAAATGGTGGTTGCAATCCATTCATTCCTGCCCAGCGTTAGCAATGGGGATGATCTGACGCCCTTGAAACTATAGAGGGAAGCGAGATTGACTCGACTCTCACGGGACGGGACTCTGAATGTCTGAATCTGAATCTCTGAATGCACAGCGGGGAATATGTGTGTCACAGAGCGGAGGATGTTAAAGTGATATTAAAGCCTAATTTTTTTTTTTTTATATATATATTTCCTTCAAGGAAAAACACATTTGCTGGAGGCTGTTGCTGTTTTTCTTTTAAAAGTTTTTAATTCCTCGTTT